TCTTGTTCTCTCGCAAATGGCGGGAAACGTACTACATCTTCAACTTGACAGCAACCAGATCCTCCAGTGGCAGCTCCTACGAGGGGCAGAGGTCGATGTCGAGGTCACAGTAGAGGCCGAGGCAGAGCTCAGCCTAGAGCTCGAGCAGCAACACTAACAATGGAGCCTCAAGTAGATTTTGATGAAGAGGTTCCAGCTCAGACTGTACCTGTTGGAACAACTCAGGTCCCGGAGGGGTTCATAGCCACTCCAGTGCTTCAGGATGCTCTAGTCTGTTTGGTGGGCCTTATGGAGAGTGTGGCCCAGACTGATACCTTCCCGGTGGCACCAGCCGTCTCTCGGTCTGGGGGAGGAGCACAAACTCTCGCTACTCATACTCAGGAGCAGATGGCTCTCTAGTATCAGACTCCAGCAGCCCCGCCAGTTAGGGTAGTTCAGCCAGTTATCACGACACAGGCAGGTGATGGACCCGCCATGTCTTCTGAGGCTTTATTGAGATTGGAAAAGTTTACTAAGCTCTTTCCAGTTCACTTCAGTGGTGCACCTTCTGAGGAACCACATGATTATCTTGACTGTTGCCATGAGGTGTTGCAGAACATGGGTATAGTTGAGACAATGGGGTCGATTTTGCTATGTTTCAGATGATGAATTCTGCCAAGAAGTGGTAGAGAGATTATATGTTGACCAGACTAGATGGGTTTCCTGCACTTACTTGGGATTAGTTCTCATAGCTATTTATAGAGAAGTTCCTCCCTATCACACTGAGAGAGGATTACTACAGGCAGTTTGAGCGTCTCCAGCAAGGCAATATGACTGTTACTCAATACGAAACCCATTTTGTGGATCTAGCTCGTCATTCACTCATGTTACTTCCTACTGAGAGGGAGAGGGTGAGGAGTTTTATTGATGGACTCACTTACACTATTAGGCTACAGATGTCCAAGGATATTGGGGGCGACATTTACTTTCAGATGGCTGCAAATGTTGTTAGGCGGATCGAGATGGTTCTTGCTTAGGAGATGGGGCAAGGCCCTGATAAGAGGCTCGTTATTTTGGTGGGTTTAGTGATGCCTCGTCAGGAGGCAGGGGTACTTTTGGTAGGCGTCATCCTCTTAGGCTGTTTCAGTTAGCGCTCTAGGCATCTCACATTGCTTCAGGTGGTCGCAGCCCTTATGTGTCTCATCTCGACCAGCTAGCCTACAGTGCACTACATCTCCTATTAGTGCACCTCTACTCCAGAGTTTTCAGGGTTGTTACTCAGGTCGACAGGGTCAGTAGTCATAGCAGCCGATGGATTGTTATACTTGTGGTGATCTGAGGCATATTGCTAGATTTTGCCTCCGAGCACTGAGCAGCACATATCAACAGGGTTCTAGTTCCCTGGTTCCGGCAGCAGTTTCTCCACCGCCCACTCAGCCAGCTAAAGGTAGGGGTCAGGCAGCCAGAGGTGGAGCTTAGGCCACTAGAGGAAGAGGTCAGCCCATTAGAGGTGGAGGTCAGCCAGTTAGAGGCCATCCCAAAGACGTGGTTCAGAGTGGTGGGGCCCAGCCATGTTATGCTTTCGTAGCTGGGCCTGAGGCTGAATCATCTGACATTGTTATCACAAGTATTGTTCGAATTTTCCATAGGGATGCTTCAGTTCTATTTGATTCGGGCTCTGCTTATTACAACGTGCCATCCTAACTTTTTTTCATATCTGGTTTTGCCTCGTGATTCTTTGAGTGCTCCTGTGTATGTGTCCACACCTTTGGGAGATTCTATTGTAGTAGATCGTGTCTTTTGCTCGTATGTGGTTGCTATTGGGAGTCTTGAGACTAGCATTGATCTCCTATTTCTTGATATGGTATATTTTGATGTCATCTTGGATATGGATTGATTGTCACCTTATCATTCTATATTGGATTATCACGCCAAGACGGTGACCTTAGCCTTGCCGGGGTTGCCTCAATTAGAGTGGATGGGGACTCTCGGCCATTCTACCAGTAGGGTTATCTCTTATATGAAGGCTCAATATATGGTCGATAATTAGTGTCTAGCTTATTTGGCCTATGTCCGTGATTCTTGTGCAGAGGTTCCTTCCATGAATTTAGTGCCTATTGTTCGTGAGCTTCCAAAGGTATTTCCTGCAGACCTTCCGAGGATGCTGCCCGACAGGGATATTGATTTGTGTATTGATTTGGCTCCGGGCACTCAACCCATTTCTATTCCGCCGTACCGTATGGCCCCGCCAGAGCTAAAAAAATTGAAGGAGCAGCTGCAAGATTTACTTGATAAGGGCTTTATTAGACCTAGTGTCTTGCCCTGGGGTGTGCCTGTGTTGTTCGTGAAGAAGAAGAAAGATAGTTCAATGAGGATGTGCATAGACTATCGGCAGTTAAATAGAGTCACCATCAAGAACAAGTATCCATTGCCGAGGATTGATGACTTATTTGATTAGCTTCAGGGTGCTAAGGTGTATTCTAAGATTGATTTGAGGTCTGGCTACCATCAGTTAAAGATTAGGGCATTCAATGTACCTAAGACAGCTTTTTGGACTCGGTATGGGCATTAAGAGTTTCTAGTGATGTCATTTGGGCTGACGAATACCCCAGCAACATTTATGGATTTGATGAACTGGTGTTCAAGCCCTACATAGATTCCTTTGTGATTGTATTTATTGATGATATTTTGATCTACTCCCACAGTCGAGAGAAACACGAGCAACATCTTCGGATTGTACTTCAGACTAGGAGGGATAGCTAGTTATATGATAAGTTTTCAAAGTGCGAGTTTTGGTTAGACTTAGTCGCCTTTTTGCGGAGCATCGTATCAGTAGAAGGCATAAGGGTGGATCCCAAGAAGGTTAAGGCAGTTCAGAACTGGCCTAGACCCACTTCAGCTACAGAGATCCGGAGCTTCCTAGGTTTGGTGGGCTATTACCGCCTGTTCATGGAGGGGTCTTCCTCTATAGCAGCCCCATTGACCAGATTAGCCCAGAAGGGTGCCTCGTTTAGATGGTCAGATGAGTGTGAGTTGAGCTTTAGAAAGCTCAAAACTACTTTTACTACGACATCGGTATTGGTGTTGCCCACTGGTTCAGGATCTTACAGAGTGTATTGTGATGCATCTCATGTTGGGATTGATGCAAGATGCTAGGGTGATTGCATATGCGTCGCGGCAGTTGAAGGTTCATGAGAAGAATTACCCTATTCATGACTTAGAGTTGGCAGCCATTGTTCATGCGCTGATGATTTGGAGGCATTATCTTTACGGCGTATCATGCGAGCTATTCACGAATTATCAGAGTCTACAACATTTGTTCAAGCAAAAGGATCTCAATTCGAGGCAGAGGAGGTAGTTAGAGCTGTTGAAAGATTATGATATCACCATTTTGTATCATCTCGGGAAGAACAATGTGGTGGTCAATGCCTTGAGTAGAAAGGCAGTGAGTATGGGCAGCCTTGTGTATATTTTAGTTAGTGGGAGGCCGCTTGCTGCAGATGTTCAGGCTTTGGCCAACCACTTCGTGAGGTTAGACGTCTTAGAGCCCAGTCGTGTTCTAGCTTGTACAGTCGCTCAGTCTTCCTTGTATGAGCGCATTAGAGAGCTGTAGTATGATGACCCCCATTTGCTTGTCCTTAGGGACACAGTACAGTACAGTGGTGCCAAGCATGTTACTGTTGGATATGATGGAGTTTTGAGGATGCAAGGTCGTATTTGCGTGCCTAATGTGGATGGGCTTCGTGAGTTGATTCTTGAGGAGGCACACAATTCCCGGTATTTTATTCATCCCGGTACCTCCAAGATGAATCAGGACTTGCGGCAGCATTATTGGTGGAGAAGGATGAAAAAGGATATAGTTGCATATGTAGCTCGGTGTCGAAATTGTCAGCAAGTTAAGTACGAGCATCAGAGACCTGATGGTTTGCTTCAGAAGTTAGAGATTCCTGAGTGGAAGTGGGAGCATATTACTATGGATTTTATTGTTGGACTCCTACGGACTCAGAGGAAGTTCGATGTAGTATGGGTCATTGTGAACAGGCTGACTAAGTCAACACACTTCATTCCTGTGGCAGTTACATATTCTTCACAACGGTTAGTTGAGATCTACATACGCGAGATTGTCCGTCTTCACGGTGTGCCCATGTCTATCATTTTTGATCGAGCCATGCAGTTCACCTCGCACTTCTAGAGGGCAGTACAGCGTGAGCTGGGCACGCAGGTTGAGTTGAGCACAGCATTTCATCCGCAAATGGACGGACAATCACTACTAGAAAATAGTAGATTTCCGACGGCCAAAACGGTCAGAATTCGGTTGGAAATCACTATTTTCTGACCGAATTTGGTAGGTTGGAAAAAAGTTGGCCGGAAAACAATTTCCGACCGAATCTGTCGGTGATTTCCGACTAAAGTGGTCGCAAATTTTGAAAAGGTCAGACTACCAAATAATTCACCTTTCCGACTAAAGTGGTCGGTATTTACCGACTGAATCAGTCGTAATAATACAAGGAAAATTAATAATTAAAAATTAAATTTTATTTATTTTCCGACGGAATCCGTCGAAAACTGTTGAATATTAAAAAAAAATTGAAATTTCCGAACGAATTTGTCGGAAATTAATAATTAAAAAATTAAATTTTATTTAGTTTTCGACGAAATCCGTCGAAAATTTCTGACTATTAATTTTTTTTTAAAAAAAATTTCCGACCGAATCAGTCAAAAATCTGACAATTTATTGTTAAATCTGGGGAGCTTTCCGACCATTTCAGTCGGAATTTTGTATAAAACTGGACAGAATTCTACCCAATTTCGAGCTACCCCACCTGTCAAACTATCACAAACCAAAAAATACTAACCAACAATCTAAACCAACGATACATTAATACAATAATACGAACCAACAATACATTAACACTATCTAAATTAACAATACATTAACAAATTCAAAACCAACAATGCCAACCATTAACACAACTTAAACCAACAATGCCAGCATTTAAACCTAACAATTTTGGGAATAAAAACATCCAAATAGCAGCCCATATTCAAGTTTAAAAGCAGTACATTAAGTTGTCTCTCACAATCAAGTTCACCAATCAACCAAAACATCACAACTAAACTACTACACATCAGATTCAGCTTGTTCATCCTCATCATCAGATAAATTATGCCCATGTTTACGCATGAATTTCTGCATCTTAACAAATGTTCCGTATTGGGAGTCCAATTGTTGCTTCAATTCACGAATTTCGTTTCTCATATCTTCCATCTGTTCTTGATTTTGAGGAGAAGAAGAAGTGGCTAAGAGTGGATTTGGATGACCTGTAGGTCGATGTACTCCTAGTTCGTAGACTCTGCCTTTGTTTGCTCCACTCGCTGCCTCTGTCCACAATGAAGCCATATCATCAGGTGTTGGTTGAGTTGAAGGAGGCTGAGTTTGTTGTCATTCTTCCAACCTTTTATGATAATCTTCCTGAAATGAAAAACATAACTATTATGTAAACAAACTAATATTAATAAACCATAACTAATTATGAAGTTAGAATTTTACATATGTGTCTGACGCACGCGTTTCCACCAGTATTCTATTGTACCATCCTTTTTCTTTTTCTTATGCAACTCCTCAAAGACCTCAGCGTAACTCATATCTTGCCCTCTTTCCTTTTCCTTCATAAGAAAAAGTATGAGTTAGACTTTACAAACATAAAATTCTATATGTAAAACTAAGAAAAGTTTTATAAATAATTACTATTCTTAGTTTATGGGCCTCAAAAGTAATCGAACCTCCTGTGTGCAACGAGCCACCTTTTTTAGAGGCATGGTTTGCCTTTGCTTGTTCACTCTTTGCCTTTCATTCTGGGGTATTCTATTTCTCAAGAAGTTTATCCCAAACATCTTCTCTTAACCATTCCGGCATATTACCGGAATTCCGAGCAGCGCACATAGTATCTTTAATCCGTATAGCAGCTTTCTTCTCGAAAATACCATTTATTACATTTTGATGCTGAGGATGCCATGTACACCTTGTCTACAATATAAAAAAGTAACATTAGATGAAAATGATAATTATTAAATAAATATAATTAATTTTTACCCTAAATTGATTCCACATTTGCTCTCTGATGTTTTACGATATCTTTCTCCAAGAAGTCCACGGGTCATGATAAAATGGCTTCATAGAATCTGTAACCAAATGTGTAGCTTGAAAGGATGGCAAAAACCTGCATTAAATTAACATATATATAATTAATACACACCTTTTAATTGCAAATAAATACTCCTTAATGTTAACATATCTAAATGTATATTCAAAACATACAAATTTGTATAAGAACCTTCTTACCCAGCCTTGTGGGGGACGATTATCAATCGATTATAACTATCAAATTGTACATCCCCTCCAAGATTCTGCCTGCGTCTACGAGATGGTGCAGAAGCAACACTAGATGTAGTTGGGCGCGAGCCTCCAATATCAAACCTAGATATGCTGGGAATGGATGATGATGATGGACTGGAAGATGATGGAGCAACAAAAGATGCACCATCATGTTGACTACCATGAAAGCTCGGAGGTGTAGCAGCTGGTGAGCCAGTATGCTGACTACCATGAAAGCTCGGAGGTGTAGCAGCTGGTGAGCCAGTATGCTGACTACCATGAAAGCTCGGGGGTGCAGCAGCTGGTGAGCCAGTATGCTGACTACCATGAAAGCCCGGGGGTGCAGCAGCTGGTGAGTCAGTATGTTGACTACCATAAAAGACCGAGGGTGCAACAACTAGTAAGCCACCATGTTGACTACCATGAAAGCCCGGTGAAGATAATGGTTGATAATAGGCGAAATCTAGGTGATTTAGCTATTGTTTATGCTTCTGCTTAATTATATTCCAATGACATATTGTGGTTAATTGATGAAAAATAGGCTTTAATTGTGATATGTATACATTGCAGGATGAGGAGCCTATATGATGCTTTCAAGAGGATATTGGAATGATTTATGAGCAAGAACAACCCTTCGGAGTTGAGTGCGCGCAAGGACGAGATGAAAAAATGGACGAAATCAAGCTCCAGGTGCGCGAAGAAACGCGCAAAGGCGCGCAGGAGTTTGCGTGTAAGAAAGGCCGAGGCAGAATCATGCACGAAGAAACACGCGAAGTTATGCACGAGCTCGCGCGTGTTCGATCCGGAAAAACGTTATTTAGGGGTAAAATCGGAAATCTGGAGAGAAACCCACTTAACCTATATAAAGTCAAGCTCGCCCAAGGTTAAATAATGAAGGGTTTTCATAGTTTAGGGCAAGAAATAGATAGGCAAGAGGCAAGGAGGACGTTTTTGAGAGGAAAACACGAGTATAGAGCCACCGTGGAGGCCGGAATTCATCGGGTTTCATCTTTCTTCCTCCAAACTTAGTAATTTTTATGTTTCTTTGTATGAGTTGTTGTTTTGCTACCATGTCTATGTGGATCTAAACTTCACGTTCTAGGGTTGTGGTTCTTTCATGACTATTGTTATTCGGATATTGAGTTTGATTTCTTAGTTTATAATATTGGTTTATTTATTCAATCATGCACTTAATTATTTGATTGTTTGATCACCAATTGAATACTATCTAAGAATCTTGAATTGAACTCGAAAGTGGTAATTCTAGATTACATATAGGATTGAATAGAGCAAGTTCTTGAACCTGGGCATCAGGGAACGGATTCGCAGTTAGGATAGACATATACCTAATTGCCTTGTTTGGTTGATTTACAGGAATTATAAATGTGTTCTTGTTGATTCTAACTCCATAGACATATAGGCGTTAGGTTAGCTTGAATAGGTGAGTAAAAACTCGACAGATTCTTATGAGCAATATTAACCCTGTCAACCAATAAACTAGATAAATTAGTTAGTCAAGTCAATAGAAGAATACAATAGGATTGTTAGATAGCCCATAACCCTAGATCGTTTTTATTACATTGATATCATAAAAATCTGCTATCCTTTGGCTCAGAGTTCATTAGTTATTTTCTTTTTATTTTAATTAGTTTAGAATCAAATACTTCTAGGTTTAATTCTTGTATAGATAATTTAGATAGTCTAATTTAGTTAATAGTTAATCACAAGTCCTCGTGGGATCGACATCCGATTTTTCGTCACTTTATTACTTGACGACTGCATATACTTGCGTGTGTGTTTGGTCGCAACAATGGTAATAGAAGATGTGGGTACAAAGTTAAAAATGATGTTACTTTGACTGCCTTTAGCAGGCATAGAATAATACTGAACTGAATTATTAGATGGAGGGGGATAGTGAACATGGTAAATGGTAATGAAGTCGATAGATGGCAATCAATAACTTAACACATTTACATTTCACACAAGGACACCTAATCCTTCCTCCAATAAGAAAATCATCAAGTGTTTGAGCCTTAGCAATAAATTCAGCAATCCCTTCAATAAATTCATCCCTCAACCCCGCACGATTAGGATGATTCCTATTATACATCCATCTACGATGCACAAATTCCATCTACACAAATAGAAATCTATAAATGAGATATTTAAAATAATTTGATTTATTTAAACTGGTTACAATGTTATACTCTTTCAAAGAATCCTTTTAGAAATATACATATCATTGTGTCAAAGCACTTTAATTAATATATTTTATTCTTTAAATTAATATTTTTTAACACTCAAAATCTCACATTAATCCCTATTCTAAATAATATAAGTCTTTAAATATACTAATTAAATTTGAATAACTTCTTAAACGTCATATAATATAAATTAATTAATGATTTCTCAAACAAAAGAAATAGTCGTAACTAACAAGTGGAAGTGTTTTTATTTGGTATTGAGGAGGACAAAAGGATCAGATAGAATCTTGAAAACTGAAAGATCCAAAAGACAATTAGCTTTCTGTCTAAAGAGTTTTAACAAGATCACTTTCAACACCAAAATCTTCAGATCTACCACTTTAAAAGAATGTAAAGAGAAAATGTAACAGAAGTACCAATTAGAGTCATTATCATCAATGACAATAGCTTTGACCCACAAACTATAAATCAAGTTTGACAACACCTCCAAAATAGAAGAAAACAAAATCCACAACATATTTACACTTCGTTCACTGTGCTAGTACTTTCACTTTTAATGGAACCTAAAAAAAACTCAGTACCATAAACAAAGAGAAATGAGATTAATAGTATAAAGAACTTCAAGATTTGGGGGGCTTGGTTTCTTGAATTTTTTTTGGCTTAAACTTCACGTGATAGAGTTCAGAGTTTGCAGAGACACACAAAAATGCTTCTCATTTTACTAGAACAATGATTTGGGTTTGTGATAAAATTAATCATGATTATTGGCTTAAGTTAGAGTAGTGCAAAAAATTAGAACCAATTAACCAAAGAGGTAATCAAATTAAGTCAGCTAAACAGTGAAAATAAAGAAATTAAAAGCTCGTGCATGATGTAAAAGTGCAAATAATTCGCGTCATAGAAGTTGTACTTGAAGTAAATTTTTGTAGAAGTCCCCAACTCTTACCAAACTCTAAATTAAAGTACTTTGACTCTCTTATCATATGATATCCATCTCGTAATTTTACAGCAAAACTACACACATGTTCATCTTACCAACCCTTTATTCAAATTATCATTATTGCTTTTATACGTGTAGATATAATACTGAGCTAATTATGTGAGTAATTAGCAGATTTTTCCATCAAAAAACAAGTCAATTGTAACAACTAAAAGAAAAAACTAGAGATCTTGTTCTTATTTTTACTGCACATTCATCAGTAAGATCCAGAACAATAATAACATAGCAAAGGGAGGTTTTCTAATACCACTATATTGATCCTACTTATGGAAGTAGTATAATTCAGGATATTAAACTCCTCTTCATATAGTATGTGAATATCCAGCAACAAGACACCTTAGTAAACAATTGAAAACTGACGACACAAAAAATTTAATATGCAATTCCATGGATGGCAAGATATAAAACTGCTAGAGAAACTATGACATCAAACTATTTGCTGAAATAATATGGAAAAAAGGAACTTGATGAACTACGACAGCCTTCTTTTAGTAAATCTATGCACTGACTTCAGCAATCCCCAAGTATGGAACTATAATTCCAAAGAGCACTTCTCATTTATATACTAGATTTAAAAAAATACATTATTTTAACAACCGGAACATATAATACCAAAAAGTGCACTTTATCTCACAAAACAAAGAAGCCTATTAACAAGTTCAACAATGATAATACTCACAGAACCATCGTCAATATAATTTCATACCTTAACTCTTTTGTTTTAACAACTAGAACCTAGAGCAACAGATCTGCAATAATCCTTAATTTCTTATAACAAAGGAGGGTTTAGGTTGGG